TGCCTCATAGTGGGCCGGCCCTATGGTTTTCTCTGTGCTTTGGCTGCTCTGAGCAGGAATATTGTCCTCAGGGCTTGGTGAACCAGGTTGTGCTCCACTCTCTCTTCCTCCCCCTTCATTTGCTCCTATGTGCTCTGATCAGACCCATCCCTCTCCCTGAGCTGTAGCTTCAGTGCTGTCCTCTGAAGTGAGTTCTTCAGGGGTGGGGGGTGAGGGGGTAGGGAGGCTGTCCATGGTGTAGGGATTGGGGCTAGCCCCTCAGACCTCTCTATTGGTTCCCTGCTTCATGCTGGTATGTTGAGACTGTACATCTTTAAGGAAGTAGAATATCTTTCTCCTTCAGAGCAACTGGTGCTTTCGCAGACCCCCTATGCCATAAGGGCTCTAAGCAAAAACATTCTCCTACTGCCTCTTTTAATTACACCTGGTTCCCTTTCTTCAGTCCCCAATAGCCTCTGCACACAGCACCTAATTCCCACTCCCCACCCCATTACTGACACCTCTCGTTCCAACATCTTACAACCACTGCCCATCTTAATGATGTTGGAGGCAGATGATCAGCCAAGGAAGCCGGCAGAAAGTCCTAGCCAACTGCTTTTAGAGGTGAGGAGGCTGCTTTTATTCTAATTAGAGTCGCCACCTAAAATACCACACTTAACCTGGGGTGTAGGAGAAGAAAATCAAAACCCACTGTTAATGAGTCAATTAAACTCATAGCGACCCTGTAGGATAGGTTAGAATTGCTCTGTGGGTTTCTGGGTAACTATGGGAGGAGAAGACAGTGAAAAGGATAGGCAAGTTTAGACATCTCTGAGCACACCTCACTGCCAAACTCACTGCCATCAAGTCAGTTCTAACTCATAGTAACCCTATATTTACCAATATCCACTATCTGTCATCCATGAGGAACTCCTTTGAAACTATATTTCAATATTATTGTCTTTGCATCCCATACAGAGACAAAAATCCAAGTCCTGTCACAGTGCCAGGCACCGAAGGTAGGCATGGTGTCATGTTTTTCTACATAAAATATAATATACAACTGCATGTTTAAAAACATTTTGTAGACTTGTTATGACTTTACCACATAGTGATTGATGGTTAGAAGATGAAAGTTGGTTACCTGGCAGGGGAGATACCATGATCACGAAGGTGGTTTTCCCAGGGCGAGGCTTATCCATTGCACTCCGGATGTGCTGACCCCTGCGATTTCCCCAAATGTGGAAAACTCGACTGCATGATTTGTGGTAGTGGGGGACTGCATTCACGCTCTGCCCTGAAAAAAAAAAAAGATGAAAGTTGGTAACACACGCAGATAAATGCATTTAGAATGGGCTTTAGAAACAAAGACAAGCAAAACCAGAAAAAGAAGAGAATTGCCCATTAGCAAAAGAATTAATTATGATCACAAGAACATAGCAACAATAACAACAATACATTTACTGAATTTGATATTGTTTTAAGTGTTGTTATGGGTTGAATTGGGTTTCCCAAAATATGAATTGAAGTCCTCCTCCCAACGCATATGACTTTGGTCTGCTTGCAAATAGGGACCTTTGTTCTGTTAATTATGTCATATCTGTGTAGTGTGGGTCCTAAATATTATCACTTGTGAGTTATAAGAAGAGCAGCATGGACACAGAGACACACACAGCACTAGGATGTCACAGGCTACAGGCACAGGGCAGATCTACCTGCAAGCCCAGGAACTCCACGGACTGTTGGCGATTAAAAGCTGACAGAGGCGATGAGAAGAGGTATCACAAGTTGAGAAAACACACATCCAAATTGAAATGAAGGGGACTGGATGTAGTGGAGGCCCAAAGTCCACCAGCAAGACAATTGGGCAGTTCAGGGCAGGATGCAGTGTGGCACCCTGTTATGAACCATAATTATTCTCTAGTTCTTTAATATTTCCTCCCCTTACTATTGAGGTCCATATGTGATATACCTCATTGGTTGTGTTAGACTTGTGTATGTTCATTTAAGATTGATAGGTACACAGAAGTCAAGATAGATAACCCCTCAGAGACACTGGCAGAAGTAACGATTCCTGGAGAGTACAGGAAGTGAGGAGGAGGTGGGGAGGAAGGAGAGAGAGGGGAGTTGATAGTTGTGATGATTATATACCCCCACCCAATGGGATTGAATAAGAGAACTGTGTGGGAAGGGAAGGGATATATTGGAATGAGTAAGATATGTCAATAAAAATATTATTTGAGAAAAGAAAATGTTCTCCACCCCCAGGTGCCCCAAAAATAAAAAATAAAAGCTGACATAGACAAAGAAGGATCATGAAATGTAACCTCTGGACCTGTGAGAAAATAAAGTCCTGCTCTTGAAAGGCACCCCCTTGTGTTGCTGTGACATAAGTGTTGGATAACTAAGATAGAGATCTATAGATAGTATTGCCGTATTATCGCTAATCCTTATAAAATACCATTTTATGGGCAAAATATTGGTACTCTGAGGGTTTAAGAAACTCAACCAGGAAAAACAGAAGCTGTTTATTCCTAAATCAATAGAAGTAACTGAAATGTTGCCAGTCTCATTTAAATAGGACCACACCTCAGTTTACACCCCACAGTGCTACCAAGGACATAGTGGCACTTCAGCAGTACTTAGGTTCAAGGTAACACTGGGCTCACAGAGAATGTCTCTGATAACTGCTTTGACTCCCTACCTAGTCATCCTAATCATGCAGGCATACATAATTCACTGTTTTGATACTAAACTGCCACCCCTGCTTGCTTTAGACAAAAGGTCCATTGACCTTCATGGTGAATTTCAGTGTTTCCCAAACTTCCCTAAATGTTAGAGGCACTTAATATAAACAAAAATGTTCAAGTTTCGCTTTTGGAGATTTCTAATTCAGTGAACTTACCAGTGGGTTTACAGTTGGGTCTAGGAATCTAGCAGCCTCATACAAAGAGGCTTCAAAAAATTCTCGGGAAAATGGAATGAAAAGATAATAGAGATTTTGAAGCCCCTGCATATAATGAAGACCTTTATATGAGGAAGTAAGCCAAGATTAATTAGTAAGAATCCACTTACTTACATTGTTTAACCCAGTGGATTCCCCAAATTGAAATCCCTTGAGAAGTTTTTTAATCTAAAAGATGGTTGTGACCCAGCTGGGATTTTCGGTTTTAAAACTTTTACTTTGAAATAACCTCAAATATAGGGAAAAGTTGCAGAGCACAAGTAACTTTCCCCCAGAATCATTTACATGTAAACTGCCAACATGCTGCCCTAGCATCCTCAAATCCTTTAAAATTCTTCCACAAGCAAAGACACTGTGTAGAGACACCAATGAAACCCACTCAATGCAGGAAAATCAACAGAGATACTGCACTATCTTTTACTCCTCAAACCCCATTCGTCTTTACCAACTGTTCCTTCCATGCCCTTGATGGTAAAAGAAATGACTATAGAATCATGTGTTCAATTTATGCCGTGTTCCTTTAAATTATTTCATTCTGAAACCACTCCTGAGTCTTTCCTTGATTTTCAGGATGCTGACAGTTGGAAATTGCAGGCCATTTATTTTGCAGAATGACCCTCAATTTGATTCTCTAAGGCAGTGGTTCTCAACCTTCCTAATGCTGCCACCCTTTAATACAGTTCCTCATGTTGTGGCGACCCCACAACCATAAAGTTATTTTCGTTGCTGTTTCATAGCTATTATGAATCGTAATGTAACTATCTGATATGCAGGATGTATTTTCATTGTTACAAATTGAACATGATTAAAGCATAGTAATTAATCACAAAACAATATGTAATTATATATTGTGAAATATTTATTTCTAATTACAAATAAATGAAATTTTGTCTTGAAGCATGCTGTAGCATGGGTAACAGTCTTAATTTAACAACAGTAAAGTACATTGCCACATTTTGTGACAGTATGCGTACAAAGCCAACGGCAGTGTGAAGGTGGAGATAGCTTCTTTCTCACCAGATCAAAAATTCTTGGGGCAGTCATTGCAAGAGCACAACAAAGATCATTTCCCACAACAAGTCTACTTCTGTATTTAGACTGGATAACCAACAAGCTGTAAAACCCTGTTTCACAAAGATATGTTGTTGGAAATAGAAGGCGCAACACCGTCTCAGACAGAACAGGATATGACTGCAAACACTTGATCCAGAATTTTGTAACTGGCATTGTAGAGAAATCAGTTCTCGCTGCATCACTGTTAATAAGTTCAATGAACTCCTCTTGTGCTGTCTCAGGAACATCTTCCACTTTGACTGCGAACGGGCTTCTGGCAAGTGCAAATAGGGTGTCAGGTAGATTTGGAAAGTATGACAAAATTTAATCTGCAAGCATGTGCAAGTGTTCTTTCACAGAAATTATCACCATAATCCCTTTGTCTGGTTCAATGTCATGTTCCTCAAAGAAAGCAGATAATGTAGGCAACATGTAAATTTTATTTTCATCCAATTTTTTTTTTTTGCTAAAGCTGAAGTTTCATTTGGAATAATCATATCTTTTCAGACAAATCGAGGCATGTTGCATTTGGTTCTTGCAGTGATTAATTTAACTCATTCAAGATGGCAAAGATGGCAACCATCTTTTTGTCAACCATTTTCTGCAGTTCATTTTTATCGCTGAAAAGTGCTTCGAACTACGGTCTTGCTTTCTGATTTTAAAAAGTTTTGAGTTTATCACGAAGCTCAAAAACACATTTTTAAACTTTTCCTCTCGACAACCATCTCACTTCCGTGTGAAATAGCAGAGCATGATTTGCCGCATCCAACTCATTGCACAGTTGCGAAAACAGTCAACTGTTTATAAAGTGCTCACCTTTACAAAATTGACAGAACTTATGACACTTTTCATTAGCTCTTGTAACTCTTGTGGCAGTGTCATCGTTGCTAATATTTGCCAATGAATCATAGAGTGAGTTCCGATGACTTTTGGTGACTCATTCAGTACCAAACGTTGAAATCTAGATTGACATCCTGTCACAACTGGAGCACCATCTGTGCAAACCACAAACCTTTTCCCAAGAGATCTCATGTTCTTTCAGAAATGAACCAACTGTGTCAAATACATCACATGCAGTAGTTGTCTTTTCAAGAGGTTTGCAAAAAAGAAACTCATCTTTAAAGTCGCCATCATTAATATACCTCACGTAAACCAGTAAGTGTGAACTGTTTGAAATGTCTGTAGATTCATCAAACTGGATGCTAAATATTGGAAGTGGAGCAGATTTAATTTTCTGGATTACCTGATCAAGAATATCAGCAGACATGTCATCTGTTCTTCTGTGGACTGTGTCATTAAGGAAATTGCACTCAATTTTGTAACAAATTCATCTCTGATCATAACTTGAACATTGTTCAAGTAGCCACTGGCAACAGTAAATACTCAGCAATGGTGTGAGTGATTCTGAGTGCCACCAAATATGAAGATTCAATGGCTGCTACGTTTTGTTTGTGGTATTGCCACCAGTGTCAAGTCTGGCTTTCTTGAGTCCATCAGCTTTGCTTCTAAAATAGTTGGTATCCTTGCTGGAAAAGCTTGGATGCTTGCTATCAAAATGGTGTTTTAGTTTGTTCAGCTTCATAGATACGGCTGACAGAACTTCCCAACAAATAACACATTGCAGTTTCTCAATTCCTGCTGTAATTATTGCGGTAAAACCATACTGTAAAAAATTCTCACTATATTTTCTTTTCTTAACGTTCTTCTCTACACGATCCACTATCATGGGTTGGTTTGCTAATGAAAATAATATATAACACTAGCTTTAATAATACAAAAGCTGATGCATGGCATAATTCAGTCCATACAGTTCATTAAAGTTTCCTATGACTTACCATTCTGTTTTTGTTTTACATACCTGTTACTATCACAAGGGGGCAGTATTCACATCAACCACAGCTGAATATAAAAAGACCAATTAGCATCCGGATTAAGTTCCCATGGTACAGATTTTTTTTTTTTGCAGTAGTTGATAATTTTAAAGTACATGATTTTACATTTACCCATTAATTATAATTCATAAAGTGTTGTTTTACCTCCAATACAGCTGCTTTCAACACAGTAGCTGCTTTTAACAGAGTAACTGCTTTCAACACGGCATCTGCTTTCTACATAGTAGCTGTTCTCTACATGTGTGACTGGTTCACATAAGTACATTATGGCGCCAACCCTGTCACATATATCTGTATTTGTATGGGGTGTATGTGATGGGGCTGATGCGATGATGTCATCATGCCAGGTACTCATATGTGGGTGTAACGGCATGTGGGCAGACCCGC